GACAGGCTCCTGCTGGTCCCTTGGGTGCTTCTGCAGGCTCGGGCTGAGCAGCATCGTGTGCTGGATGGATGTCAACAGGTATCAAACTGCCCCAGCTCCTCTGGGCACCGGCTGGATGGGACCTTCCCACTGCAAGGTGGGGTGTCCAACTGCAGCAGGGCCCTCCCTCGGGAGCAGCTGCTCCCTGGCCCTGACACACAAGTCCCGTGGTGATGATTTCAGGCTCTGCTGCCACTTTGTGTGTTACACTGCAGTGGAAGCACTGGCATATTCCCTCGGTATCAAACTGCCCCAGCTCCTCTGGGCACCGGCTGGATGGGACCTTCCCACTGCAAGGTGGGGTGTCCAACTGCAGCAGGGCCCTCCCTCGGGAGCAGCTGCTCCCTGGCCCTGACACACAAGTCCCGTGGTGATGATTTCAGGCTCTGCTGCCACTTTGTGTGTTACACTGCAGTGGAAGCACTGGCATATTCCCTCCAAGAAGGATGTTGCTTATTTTAGTTTCGTGTCTGCTGGCAGCAGAGATCAGGGGTGGCCGTGGGATGGGAGGAGATGCTGCCCAGAGCTCCCCAGGGCTGTCACCCCTGCACCCACAGCCAGCTGATGGCTCTGGTCAAATACTAGAGAGGATTTGTGCTGATTATCTGGGAGATTTCCCAGCAGAAAGCCAAACAGCTTCAATTTCCCTGAGGTGCCTCTAAGAGCCTTTACTTCTGGGCATGGTCTGTCATGAGACCCAGCACAGCTCCCTCTGCTCCCCAGCACTGTGAGCTGCCAGGCAGGCTTGGCAAAGCTGTCTGAGATAGAGCGACTGCTTTGGGAGCAGGAGAGAGGAATAAGGGGGGGAAACACATCAAGAGCTGATTTTTTTCTTGCCCCAGAGCCCTCTTGGAAAAGCTCTTTTCCTCTTTGCCGTTCGACAGTGACTCATCTTTCCTATAGTGACATCATTTATATTCTATTCAGCCTTAAAGTGCATCTGTCCTGAAAAAGAAGAGGGCCTCTGCCCCAGCCTTTGGGGACACCCACCCCCATTCCCTGCTCCTTACCAGGCTTTGGTGTCATCTCCAGAAATGGCTGGAATAGCACAAAACTCGTGATTCCTGTGCTCTCGGAGCAGCCGCAGTAAATCCCAGCCAGCCAGGAATAGCCCTTGGTAACAAAACC